ACACACACACACACACACACACACAGTGGACTATTGATCAGTCTTAAGAAGGGAGGAAATTCTGGCACATTTTACCACTTGAATGAGCCATGAAGACATTATGCCAAGTGAAATAAACCAGTCACAAAAGGACAAATATTGTAAAATTCCATTTACAGGAGGTACCTATAGTAGCCAAACTCATAGAGATAGAAAGCAGAATGGTGGTTTGGGCAGTCAAGCTGCCTAATTTAAAAGGATAAATATTTATTTGGAATGGGCTGACTTATATATCATTAGTCTATTTAGAAACTACATTATATAAATTTAAGTTATATATATACTGTTTCCACTTAAAATGTCAGGAAAAGTTATTACGGATCTCATTGTGTGTTGTGTACTCTTTCTAGCTATATTTTGACATGAAATAACTAAACTAATCTATTTAATCATAAATTAAACTCACCTTCTTACAAGTATTTGGTTCTATTTTCTTATAAGAGAAACTGAATTTCTATAGTTATTAATCTCAAAGTACCTTCTAATTCTGTTCTAATGTTATAGGGAAGAGTTTCTAATAGAAAATATAGTCTGCTGAGTTCCATGCTTTCAATTTCCAGAAGATCAATTGTGTCTTTTCTCATTTCTTCCTAAAAATTTAAATTACATATTTTAAAAAGTTAAGACATTAAAACAATAAGATCTATCTCCTAATCAATGCCTATAAATGTTTTCAAAGACCAAAATTTGATTTTCATTAAACACCTTCTGCTGTTATTTTAATTTGGAGAAAAAGTAACTATACTCTAAAATCAGTTTTTAAAGTGTCATTGTTAGCTTATCTTTTAATTTCTGATGATTTTCTTCTACTCAGAAATCATATTTCCCAGTATGCATGTGTTTCTTATTTGCAGTTTCAATCAATTTAAAAGCAACGTCTCCAACAAAAAGGGTAACATTGAGAAAGAAGGCAACTTAATCAAAAATTAGAAAATGCCTATAAAAATATGCTTAGGTATAAAGACAATAATGGTTGTCTTATACAAACCTACAAATCCAAACAAAGAATCAGGCGAGACTGTTGTTATTATTATTATTATTAAATTATTATTTTTGGTGGGACTTTTAAAAATGAAAAACATTCAAAAATCTGTTAGTGGAAAAAATAGATAAATTATCTTTTAAATAAATGGTTGTAATGACTATAGTTACTTTACAACCTGAGAAAGTACCATTATATTTTATGAATAATGAAATGCAGATTACGTAATTGTGTATATAGTATGATTACTTTTCTATAAAAAATAAAACTCAAAAGAGGCATCATCCATACCCTGAAAGTAGGAAAGCCATTTGTCAAAGAGTCAATTGTGATTATTTAATGGTCGTGGGGTCATCGTGGTTTTTACTTTCTTCAATTTGCTTGTTTATTTTTTTCTAAGTTTTCCAGAATAAAGAAGTAGTGCTTTTATAATAGTGATAATTTTTTACTTTAAAAAATGTGAAACCTCTATTAAAGAGGTTTCACAGCTCAGATATTAAATGGAGACATGCTAGATACTTTAATAAGCCACAAGAGATATTTTGACCCCTTCAGTTCCTAGAGAAAAACATAACTAAAAACAAAGCAGAGGAAAAAGCTTTCACAAGACCACAGTGCAGTGTAATATACACAAACTAAGCACATGTATTCAAGTAAGTGTGATTATAAAGTATAATTCTAAATATACGTACACAACTATACATAATTCCATAAAAATATAAAGCAATGAGATTAACTTTTATTAGTAGTCTGTAGGCCCAAACTTATTTACTTTACAGCCATATTTCTATATTTTTAGATATTCAATATGTAGTAGATTCTTATTCAATATTTTTTAACCAAATGAAGAGACTTCGCCATTCTGACCCTGCCAAGAAGGCATTGTAAACGTCATCCAGGACCAGAGAAATGTTTGTGATACTTTAAAAGGAAATTCTTTAAATGTTTGTTTTTGGAGTCAAGTTAGTATAATTGAAAGAATTTCTGTTTGTTTTCACTGAACAGCACAGTCTACTTCAGTGAAATAAGTGCCAAAATCTTTTAGCAGTTATATAAGAAATTGTATATAGAGAACTAAGTTAATTCACACCATACATGCAATTTATTTCACACCATACATGCAATTTATTTTAGGTTTGTTTTAAGTGATGCTTACATATCGGTGTCCCTAGCTTTTGCCCATTTGGCCAGCCCCTTCACTGAGCTCTGTTATCACCAGCACCACTCCTCCCTACCTGGCTTGCCCTCATCCATAGCACAGGTCAGTGTTCTGTGTGGAAAACTGAGCAAACAGTCCACTGTTGAGCAATCCTGGTGCTTAGAAAATCGAAGGAACATTTTTTTTCTTTTATTCAGAGTAAATATTTTCCCTATTCATCTACTGAAATACCTTGAGCAGAGTTGGTGCTAAATTAAAGTTTGATAAGAAATAAATGGAAGATTGAAAAAAATAGCTTTTACAGATGATACAATACCAATTTCTTGACAGCTACAGCAATGTCTTTAAGAAAGGTCCTAGCTTCTTCGTTGCATTTAAAATAGTCACCTTGCAGTGATTGTTCTAAAAAAAAATTAGAAAATTAAGATCTTTTATTTATCTATCCAAATCCTAGTTAACTCTTTAAGATCTAGCTCAAACGCCTTTGTCAGCTGAAAATTACATCTTCTATCTCTGAATTTCTATAGCACTTTATATGAATCTCTTTTGTACTTCTTATATTCTATTTCATAGTATTCTGGTTTAGGTATGTATTTTATGCTCCTTGAGAAAACCTCATCTTAAGAGTCCATCTTTGCATCTCTTGTGCTAGAACGAGGGATGTGTATAGGCTAGCACAAAAAATTAAACAAATATTTATGAAAGGGATAAATATAACAAGCCTACAACATAAGCTTGTTGAAAAATGTTTTCATATATATTTATATACATATATCCTAAATATAGTATCTTGCCAAAAACCACACATTTCATTAACTATATAAAAATTATTATGTCACTTTTATTTCTATGCCAAAATTGTAATCATAGAATGAGATCAAATATTTGTAAAACTGGTCAGTGTGAAGTAGACAGAGTTTCTAACCCTTTTTGTCTATTTATATATTTTCAGACGTCTCCTTTTCTCCCATACACTGTAAGTGGAAAGCACACGAGAAGAGAGGCTTAGGAAATGTTGGCAAAGGTAATGAAGACAGATATAGAATGGGGAAAAAGAAAGAAAAAGAAAGGATAAAAGGAAGAGCAGAAAGAACAGATGAAGCTCTACTTACCTTGGTTCTGTCACCACTGTATTGTACAGACTAAGTGGATTCCAGGCCTGCATCCTCGCATGTGGGAAGAGTCTGATGTACTTAATATTTTACATGTATTATCTAAGTCGATTCTTATAATCTTATAATGATTCCTATATCATAGGTGAGAAATCAAAGACTTTGAGGTCATATGTTCAAGGTCACGAAGCCCATCACTGATAGAGTCTGGATTCAAATGTAAGTGGCATGACTCCAGGGTCTATGCTCTTAATGGCCATATTCACCTCTCAGAAGAGTAAATAGCAATTTCTGCCCTCAGTTTTTGGGAACTTGGATTCTCTTAATGAACTAAGCTCTCAAACCAAGTGAAAATCAGTTACTGAGTTTGTAAGCAAGTGTGTGTTAAGGAGGGACAGATATTGCCTGCTATTTCCTTTCCTTTCTTCCATGGAATGAATGAGCACAAGTTTGTTCCCACTTGCAAATGGGCTGGAGAGCTACATATTTTATAACTCATGTTCAGAGTAAGAGGTTTAATGAAGTTTTTTCCTATGGAAAACTCTCTGAGGGTCCAGGAATTATTAGCAGAAAAAGTATTTGTGCCTAAATACTAGGGTTGAATGGAACACTGATCTAGATGACCTTGGCCACATTCAGATCTCTTTGGTAGTTAACATTTTTAATGAAAATACTCATCCAAACTTTTCAGAAGAATTGTAAAGTTACAATAGTTCATCTAAGAAGGAAAAAAGAAGCTATCCCAAACTTGAAACAATGAGATGATCAGAATAAAGCAAGGAGATGCTTTGTTGTTTGGCATAAATGGTTTGTGAGCTGAACAAGAAATATCCTTTCCTGAACTATAAGCTTAGGTGACTTGATTAGAGGTTCAGCTTTCTAACTGAAATATTTTAACCCTGCTCCATCCAAGGTTATAGTCCATTTGCATTTCATAAACATTCTTCTCTATCTAATTTTCCTTGCCTAATACAAGAGCTTCTTAAACACCCTCTTTCTTGTTTGCCTGTTAAATTCTCCAGTTTGCCATGGCATATGTTGGAAAAAATTAACTTGCAAAGAAAAGGCAAGAACGACCAAGCTGAAATTGAATGCATAATCTAAATGTAAGTGGGCACTCCAGTGGCTGGTAAATGGCAGTGGCCTGGGAGTCGAGGATTTTCCAGGATTTGCCACCACCTACTAGTGTGAACTGGGCTGAGTCACTCCAGTGACACCACAGCATGAGAACTGAGTCATGAATTCCACCCTGTCATCTCTCTCTCCCTCTAGGAGCCGAAGAAGGCTCTGTCCCAGCCAGGGATGCCTTGGGTTCCAGGGGGAGGGTCCCTACTGAGGGGACCTAGGCGCCACTTTTGAGGTGACGTCCCTCCAGGCTCTCCCGGGCCTCTCACCCACAACAAAGAGTTGCTCCAGCGCTGCGGCCGCGACCGAGGAGCCCAGGGTGGAGGGGAAGGTGCATAACTCCAGGGAGGGGCCGGTGGAAACCGCGGCCGCCGTCAGCACCTTCTCACCGAACCCCAGCTCTGGAGACCAGGAGCTCAGTGCCATCTTGCTGCTCCGGCGCTTCGCCAGCCAGGCCAGAGCCAAGGACCGCCGTTGCCACGGGCAACAAGGACGTCAAGGCCGGGGCGCCAGCTCGTGGCACTTGTGCCCTCACTTGGGGTGGATGGATACCTTCCCAGGTCTCAAACTTTATCCACAATAATTAAGCCATCCTGGAAATATGAGACCCTCTTTAGCTGTTCTTTCCTCCTTTCTTTTCCATTTCTTTAGTTCAGGTCTTGCACCTTTCTGGTGGTCCATTGGAATCATAATAATGATCACCTTTGAAAATTTCTCTGTGTCAGGCAATACAAGAGGAGCTTCATTTTCACAATGGCTTTATGAGGCAGGTTCTTTTATTATCTTCACTTTTACAGACACTTCTAATGGTTCTAGATTGGCCTAGATAGCTACAGGGCAGCGAGGCATTTTGTGTTTTTACAAAATGTATATATTTGCAATGGCTTCCATGACTTATTTAGTCTTTATCATAACTCTTCAGGGCAATAATTATGATTATCCGATTTTTCAGATACTGAGATGAGCAACTCAGTGACCTTAGAATTGTATAAACTCTGATCCTTAGAATGGGACAATGGCAGAGCAGTCTTTCGACGCCAGGTCTGGGGCACTGGCATTTCTGCCTGAGCTGCTTGCGGCTATTGAGACCAGGCAAGAAAATTGGGTTGAGGTGGGGAGTGTTCTGGGTTGGACCGGATGTCAGCAGAGCCAGGATAGTTTGGCTGTAGAACACGGGGTGCATGGAGAGGAAAAGCAAGAGCCCAGCCAAAAATTTGAGTTGTGATTTCACTGTAAAGGGCCTTGAATTCCAGACTCAGGAGTTTGAATTTTATTGCTGCAGGCAATGATGCTGTGAATACAATGATGGAGAACAGATTTAGCTGCTCCCTGCTGGCAGCTGCTTGGTAATTCAGCTTACTTATGCTTAAGATAACATTTTATGGTAAGGTAGAATATCCTTATCAATTAAAATTTGAGTTGTGATTTCACTGTAAAGGGCCTTGAATTCCAGACTCAGGAGTTTGAATTTTATTGCTGCAGGCAATGATGCTGTGAATACAATGATGGAGAACAGATTTAGCTGCTCCCTGCTGGCAGCTGCTTGGTAATTCAGCTTACTTATGCTTAAGATAACATTTTATGGTAAGGTAGAATATCCTTATCAATTACAGCCAGTATGATTTTTTTTTTCAAGGAAGCATCTGCAAAATAATCAAAAATTAAATTAGGCCTGAGACAATCAATGCCATATTTATCAAGAATATATTTATTATTATTATTATTATTAATCACTGATGTTTCCATTGGCATCTTCATTTAGAAATGTAGCAGTGGTGATTGTTAATGTCACTTAGTATTTACATAGACATTTCAAACATTCATGATCTTAAAGTAATAAGCAATATTCTTATTTTCTTTATTTTTTCTTATTTTAATTCTTATTTTTACAAAGTGTTTTAGATATGATGATTCATCTGATGATGATTCATCTGAAGATGATTCATCTAAAGATGATTCATTAATAATCACTGGAGTAGGTAAACTCTCCAATCTGATTTAAAAACCTTTGTCTTCTCTCTGGCTGGGATTCGGGTGACTGACCATTCCCTTATACATGGATGCAATTAAGAATTTCCAGAGCTCACTTGGAAAATAAAAATACCAGCAAGTCATTGCTGCTTTCAATTCATTTCTTCCTGCCCCCTCAGGGACCTTCCTCAGTTAACTCCTCCCTCACTGTGTCTTCCTCATTCCTTACAACTCATGCCATTTTATCTTACTAAATCCATGTCTTTCCTAAATAAACCCTTCGGCATCCCTACCTCTCTGCTTCATTACCAAAATTCTTAAAACTGTGGTCTATATCTTGGCTATAATGCATTGCTTCACACTGAATTTTAAATTGCCTCCTCCTCCTCATCTTCTAAGGCCTTTTCTCCAGCCCCATTCCAACTCATCCCTTTTCCTACAGAAGTTGACACCAATTCTTTTTTAGAAACTCACCTTGTCGATTGGTTTCGGCTACTCCTTCTTCACTTCCTTCACTGGCTTTCTTGTCATTTTCCTCCTGTTTGCCAAAAGCGGACATTCTGTCTGGGCTCTGTCCTTGGCCTTCTTTCATACTCTCTAACCTCTTCCCTCAGAGTTGAAGCTACACAAATAACTCTTGGTTTTTATCTCCCGCCCAACCTCTCTTCTCAGTATTAATCTTGTAAACTAAACATTTTCATCTGGTTATGCTGCTAGGATATCAAATTCAACCTGTTCGAAGTCTATATTTTAGGTGGTTTATCTGCTTATTGAAATCACAATTGTATTGTCAGTCCATCTCAAAAGCTGTCTCATCCATAAATTTTCTTAATCCCAGTAACCTCAAAGCCTCCAAAGCACTTTGTTCGAACTTATTGTAGATGGTAATTATGTTAGGCTGAGTGATCTTATAATTATTTCTGTGTAATAGTTTTATTACTGAATAGCTTTGTTAACGATATGCCTCAATTTCTCATCCATAAAATGGGGCTCTCATTGTAGGGTAGTCATGAAAATTAAATAAATTCATATAAAGTGTTTCAAACAATGCCTGGAGCAAAATGAGGCACTCCATAAATTTAGCTGTTATCATCTCTGTACCACTACGAACTCTATGAAAAGGGGTCTGCGTTTTACTTATCTTGCCATCTCTTGTAGCACCCAGTACAGCAATTTGTACACAATAGGTGCCTAAGATATTGTTGAAATGGATAATAGCAAAGATTCACGTTTTCGGAATTTTTAAAAATATAGAGCTCAAAATTGTCTGCAATTCAGGCTTTATTAGAAAAAGAAAAATACTAGAGGAAAAAGGCAACTTTCTCAGGTGCTCACACTGCTCTTACGTCTAGGCTGGTGTGGCAAGAACTGACATTCACAATGGCCTTACTGATCATTACTATTATAAGACCCTGAAGGACATTTTGAAACTCCAGATTAAATTGTGTATAGTTAAAGTTTGGTTCTGAGTGAATTTTATGATACCAGAATCATTACTTATTATTTTAAAAATGGTAACTTATTTAACTGTGATTTCAAAATTAATCCGTTCTCGGCTTTGCCAGATGAATGAGCTTCCACGGCTGAAAAAATGTTACATGGCTCCAACTGTTTCTTTTCCTGTTGCTATATAGAAGTGTGTTCTGATTCAGGATGTATGGATATATGAAATTAAGCCAGGATTTAGAGCTCTTCAAGATTTGCGCCCTGTCTTTTCTGCTTCTATTCATGGCAGGGTTGTTAGGAAATAGCTGAATTTAAGCACTTCCGTCTTTAACCACAAAGGCCAAAGCAGAAAAATGGTGTTTGGAAAAATAATCTCCTGCAGTGAAATCCTTGGACTCCTTCGGTTCTTCCAATAAATGCCAATTTATGGTTAATTTTCATTGGTGGGTTTCTTTTCCTAGCAACCAAATAGCCTTGCTGAGGCAGTATTGCTCTGAGCTAGTTTGTAAGAAGGGCAGAGAAACAGAGGAAAGGCAGGATGGCTCGGCGGAAAAAGCCCAGGCCTCAGATCAGACAAACAAGGTTCCAAGTCCTTACTTACTAGTTGTGTAAATAACTAATTTTCTCACTTGGACAATAGAAATAAAGACATTAATCATGGTGTTTTTTTGTTTTTTGTTTTTGTTTTTTGTTTTTGACATTTTAAGGACTAGAAATGTTTGTAAAGAGCCCAACATAGTGTCTGGCTCAGTGATGCTATATTATTGCTAAGAAGTTTCATTTTAATAGCCTTAAGGTAATTGGCTTAATGTAATTTATTAACTAAGAAATCAAGTAGCTAATGTAATAGTCTATTGGCTAAATTCATTTAATATAATAACCAATTTGGGAATTAAAGGACAAAATTTAAAACAAAATAAATTTTTGTGAAAAGGAAAAAAAGTAAATGTACTTTATCTAGGAAGAAACTCTATAAGGCCAGGAAAGAACATTCTTGGTTTAGTACTATTCATCCCAGTAAAGATTCATCTTTATAGTAAAGATTCTACTATAAACCTGGCATTGGAATGGGTTCATGAAAATAAGTTAACAGAGTATAATAAAGTCCCTGAAGAAAGCTCCATTTATTCTGTTGGAAATTTATTTTGTGGTAGCAAGCATCTGGGTATTCTCTCCCACTTAGGAGAAGCAAAGAAAAGACATGAGTTATGTTCTGTCAAGCAAAAAGGATGCTGGATTAATTTGCCACCAAGAGATTATAGAGTGGTAGACTCCCTTCTAATTTTAGAGTGCTTAATAAGCACATTTATTGAACAGAGCTAGTGCTATAGAATTTCTGGGTATTTTGATGACTGACATGAAAAATTACAATATTGCCTATTTCAGTTTATAGTTATCTCAGACTAGATGCATCATATTCATTGGGTAATTTGTCCTTATAAGAATTTACATACTGAGGTTCTATTTTGTACTGAATGATTAATAAGTGAGTATCAGAAAGAAAATACAGATAAACTAGAAGTTCGTGACTTATATGCCCAGTGGAACATTTAATTTTTAATTTTCAAAGTAACTTTTTGAATATAGACCTGAAATAATTTTCTGTGATAGTTAAGAGAACAGTGAGAAGATTATTATTACCTGGGTTTTCTCCCTGACCATCTTGGAGGGCTGGCTGCCTCCATCCTCTGAAAACTTCAGTTCTATCAGAAGGCCCACTCCACATAATGCTACTTTCTCTGGGTTCGGTGATATTAGAGAGGGAATTGAGAAAGGCTGGCCTAGGCTCCTCTCTCCTTGTCATCCTGGCCTGTCCCCAAACTTACCCCTGCTCTGTTCCCTTGTGTTGTGAGCTCTGCCCAGTGCAGGGGTAAGGTGAGCATCGCCATTAGGAGAATTGGGAGAAATATTTTTTACCAATTCATAGGTTGCCTTTCCTTTTGTGCAGAAGCTTTTAATTTGCTGTAGTCATACTTGTTTATTTTTATTTTGTTACCTGAGCTTTTGTT